ACATAACAGTGGCTTCCCAATGCACCAAGGAAAATGGGGAGTTGGGGAATGCCAAAAAGCCCATTTAAATAATTTGGTTCTTCCCCTGATGAAGAGAAAGAATTCTTTTGAAGAAAACTTGGTTTAACAGTCTCTTTGTTCTCTCAAAAGGTAGAATTTTTTTAGAATGCAAATCATATGTTGCACTAACAAAGCAAACCTTAAGAATTTTGACTGGTCGAACCAAGTGCCTCAAAATATATCTGAATAGACACTTTATTATTGATTCAAAACACACACATACTTGCACTCTCTCTCACACACATATATAGTCAGCTAGTACTAGGTCTTGATTTTTATGAAAGGTATGGCTTTTGAGTCTTGTCCAAATAAAGCCAAGTAAATGAGTAAGGAAAGAATTTCTATGATTATGACTCAACATTAGCCATAATTTCATGGGCAGATATAAGCTGAATCATATGGAAATGAGTAGCTTGAACTTACAAGACATTTGTCCTCTTGAATGAAATAGGAATTGCTGTGTAATAGACAGTTTTAAGGATTACCCTTTTCCCCCATCATACACAGACACACATGTATACTATACCTATGTATGTAGACACAATACTCATTTTAGGCTATTTGAATAACTTCTACCTCATTTAAAAAATGGTCATGTCAATCTAAATAGTACATGAGTTGCTAACACTGCCTGCTTTTACATTCCCTAACTATACGTAGCTAGTTCACACAAGGTAGCCACCCATCACCGTTACTACATAATTTAGAAACATATGGTATAGCTTTGCCATGCCAACTTCTAGGTATTCACTCTACCATTCTGACAAAAGAAGAAAAAGCAAAGAACTGCTTTCCAAATTGTCATTTCTGAGCTACTGAAACATACATTGTTACATTCTGGTGGGGAGATTTTTGTTTTGGTCATAAATTATTATTGCCACCATGTTATATTTAGATTCACAGTAATGTAACATAATATACCAGTAAATGATAAAATGCTTTTTTCAAATAGTCTGTTTAAAGTCTCCTCTTTAATTGGGAAGATTGTTGGACTGCTCTTTTTCTCAGTAAAAGTGAAACCAAAGTAATTACCAAAATTATCCAAGTGATGGTAGTCTCCCTCTGTTCCTTCCGAAGAGTTCTTCTGAGCTAAAATCTTTTTCCTTTCAGCTTAAACGACATAGTAAAGTTGGTATAGCCTAGTGTTCAAATTTACCCACTAACAGCCCATCCCTCTCCTTCATATTCTTTAAGAAGTTAAACCTAAGCATCCATTTTGCCCATGGTGACTATATTTGATGGGTGTCCAGAGGAAGAAAGGAGGACCTCTCTCAATTCAAAGAGAAATAACTCTGGGTAAAGAAGTACACCTGACCTGTTGTCAGGATTCTAGGGCTCTTTTTATCCTAGACTATTTCTAGCCAGTATCTCATGGGATCAGAATGCCTCACACTTCAATTGCCATCTTTTACCCATCTACATGGTATTTTAGGCAAATAAAATTTCTGAGTCTCAGTTTTTTAAAAAACAAGGATGGCAATCTGTACATTGTTAGAGTTAGGAGATTTAAAAAATGATTTAAGAACAGAAAAAATAACTTCAGCTGAAAACTAAGGAAATCTGAATAAACTACAGACTTTAGTTAATAATAATGTATCAATATTAGTTTATTGTAACCCATGTCCCATACTACTGTAAGATACTAAGAAGGGAAATTAGATATGTAGTATATAGGAACTCTCTGTACCATTTATCAATTTTTCAGTGAATTGAAAGCTGTTCAAAAAGAGCCTATTCAAAAAATGATCTATGTGCCTTTCCCATAGTAGGCACTTGAAAAAGTGGTAGTCAGTATTGTGATATAGATTATTTGGTTTCACACGGTGCATTATACTCTGTACAATATGCTCTTTTCTCCATAATTCAGCAATTCCTTTTCATAGATTCTGTCTCTCTGACCTCCATGTCACCCTATCCCTTTCTCTACATTTTTCTTCTTTTTCTAGTTCATCCTTTTCTATTCTACTGCAAACTCACGTTTAGTTTACAACTAGTTTATCTTTCTTCAAGACTAACTTTAGCTCATCAACTCTATTTGTTGGCTTTAAACTTTATCACAGTGATTATGCAAACCTTTTAATTACTCTCAATGATTGCTTATTTTTTAAAAATCAGAGTTCCAAGCTTTCTACTTGAAGGAGCAAAACACACTTTTCTAGAAAGGCATTAAAAACTTACAAATATAGCAGTGAAAAATCTTTTTGTGATAAGGAGATATATATATATAATTTTTGTAAAAATTTTGCTTCCCAGTATAGCCAACAGCCCTGGGATAGCTTCAGTGGGATATGTATTTAGCAACAGTTTGTTGTGATAACTAAAAATAGTTTGACCAAATGCCAGTGTTATCAATCTGTCCTGGAGTCTCTCTGATGTTAAGGTCACACGTAAAAATGGAACCAGCATGCCCCTCAAAACCACAGCTTTGCGTGGATTCAGGTAAAACATACAATCAGATCAGAAAAATCTGGCCTCATAATGATCTCTAAGGTGGCTGAAGGTTCTGTTTAGAAGAATGTGTCTCTGTGGGATTTCTTTCTCCATGCTAGCTCTGGACTTAAGCATCTATTTAAAGGACAGCGCTCTAGAAACTTTGATAAATGTGTCTAGACACCGCCACCCCCCACCCCTTTCAACCTAACACTTAAAGTCACAGTTTTCATTGTCAAAGGAATGGGATATTTTTGGCTGGTGCTGTTATTACTGGGATAGATTTTGGAAGTTGAAGTTCCCATGCTACAAAGACACAATTACAACAGGAATTCCACACTGAAATGTGAAACATTAGGCACCGTGAACTCAACATCCAACCTTAAAATAATATCCCAAAAACTTTTACTGCTCTGAGGATACTTTTGCTCTACTGCAGTCCAAAATACGAACTGAAAAAACAAGGGGCCACAGATAGAGATGGAGAGCTGTGTGTGTAACCCACCTCCTGTCTCTCACCCTGGAAATGAGTTTTATCTTTTAATGAAACGATATCCAAGCTCATGATGGCTGAAATAAATCATCAGTGCTGGGTGGTGTGTGTACACATGTAAGTAAAACAAACAGAAATCTGTGCTAACTCAAGGTAAGGGTGGAGAAATGTGGAAAACCTAATGCTACTACAGCAACATGTTATTTGGTCTTAAATGGCAGCAACCGAAAAATTCACTATTTTAAGACACTAGTCTCACAATCTTGATGGGGTTACGACTGGCCTCTTACACTGCCTCTCTGACTGGCTTTTCTGATAGCTCAAGTGCTGCAAATTTATTTAAAAAATAGAACGCTGACTTTCTTCACTAACTCACTTCAACGGGGTGCCTGACTGCTTCTCTTCTGCCGCCACCCTCCGCCACTGCCCCTCATTTTCCAGTACCCCTCATCCCTTCCTCCAGCTAAAGAACAGCTGATAGAAATAGGCGCCTTAAAAAAAAAAAAAAAAAAAAAAAAAAATCAAAGGCAGCCCAGAGCTGCTTCAGCCTTGCCCCAGCCTCAGACAGAAAAAGCTTTTGATGCCCCTGATTGCGAGGCTTTTTGCAGCTGTACTTTATCAAGGCAGCAGTGGCAGGGCTTGGAGGACCCAGGCGAGCCAGAAGGTGGCGGCGAAGTCACCTTGGGAAGAGGAGAAGAGGGTCAAAGAGAGGAAGGCGGAGGGGCTGACCCGGACGGAAGGACCAGAGGGCGTGCCCCTGCTCTGGGGTCAGTGAGGAAGTGTCAGGGGGACTGGAGAGAACTCCAGCCATGAGGAAGCAGTGCCCCATGACCCTTTGGCGACGCTAGTCGGTGATCGGCTGACCCGAGCAGGGAGAGGAGGGTGCCCTTCGCAGAGTCACGGGAAGCTTCGCCTTCAGGGCTTTCTTTCTCCCGCCTGCCCCTGCGCTTGCTCTCCGCCCCAGCGAGCGGAGCGCTGCTCCAAGACGCTCTTCTCCCTCCACCTCGGC